TGCCATGCGTTTCCTTAAAACCCGAGAGAAAATAAGAGCACATAAAAGATATCAGAATGAAGGCCATCTGTTTTACACTTTAATGGTTTTGCGTCGGATCAATGTTCACAGGTGTTGAGATCTACTATATTGTCACACTTTGATGCGCAAGTATAAAATTTTGTCAGTACTCCCATTGTATTCATTGCACCAAGATAACCATCTATCAAACATGATGAACATCAATCGTGCTCTGCTCAACCTGCCAATCTAACCCAAGATGATGAGGCGAGTATAACCTAGCAACTGATGAAAGTTGGTTCCAACTCTTTCCGTTAAGACAAAAATGAAAACTTGTCGCCAACTTGAACCACTGAACAGAAACTGTTCAGTGTCCATCAATGAGTCTTACTTCATTGAAGGTACTCTTTTCAACTGACTATTAAGATTCCGCAAGCGAATATCACACCTCACACATCACACATCATTGTTCATTGTACATTGTTCATCTAAGGAGAAACGCTTTTCGATGGAGATGGAACGAGATGAGAGAATGGCTAATTAAAAATCAGTCTTTCTTGATGTATTTGCAAAATGCTAGGCATCAGAGTAATGCAGTGATATTCGGGACTCAAATTGTGTCTCACCTATTCGAGCACAATTAGAGGGACTACTGCATGTATACACAAATCACACATAAAGTACATGTTTTACTGGTTAGTTGATTGTGTCCACACAGTGCAACCTATCCGCTTGTCCGATGTACTGTGGTACTCCGTCAGCCCATCTTACCCCCTTCGAGATCTTCATTTATCCTTTCTTCTGCTACCAACTTTGCTTTTCGAAAATTGTTTTTCAGATCGGCCGGTGCATTTAAATTTTAATAGATAAGAGTTTCGTCAACGAAGTCAAAGTTTATATGTTTAGATCAAGAATGAATATCCCCGATATTCTCAGATATATATGTCCGTACTGAGCTAATACCCGTCTCAGGACATTTCCGCATTACATGTAGTGGTATAATGTAGTGAAATAATTTCTTCGCAAGTGCCGGTAAAGTGCATGTGTCTCAGGGCTGGCAATTCATACGTCACGGGTGCATAAAGGCACATTCTTTACTTGATTGACAAATGCGTTAACATTCGTCATTTATTCCAAGCCAAGTAAGCCGTTTAGCTCCTATAAGACCATATAAATTCTTAGAATAACCAAGAATTTGATCGATGCTCATGGAACTCCGTGTATTTTAGATTATACCCGGAAGCAATAGCCATGCTTTTGCTGGCGATATTATTAGATAGTCGGATTATTCACAACTTTTTCATTAAAATATTGGCTTTTTAGATTTATTTAACCAAATAAGATGCTTTTTTCAGATATTGAAAATTGGCATCGAAAATCACACCCACATTAGCCATTTAATGCTCCACCATTACAAGGAGTTTTAGAATGTGGTAGATTCATTTTGTGATCTTAAAGAACATTTATGGGAATGAACGTCGGCAAACGTCAAGTTGAAAGATTGTTCGAGAAGTTTAAGTCGGGTAATACATTTAGCAGGTGAAAAAGGATGAGGTCGTATATGAAATTTGACCACAAGGCCTTTCCTTAGAAGGGGATAAGAACGAAGGCTTGGGTGAAAACTTATTGTGGACAATTTGACCATCATTCTGAAGTGTTCATATAATTTGCTTCGTTTTCGCGCTCGAGTCGCTTACCCTATTCACACCTCCATTTAGCCCTTGTTGGCCAATCATGGGACCTTGCATTTGACTAGCTGCAATTCGAAACATTATAGATCTACTTGTACTGCGCGTGTGTGCGTACAGTTTTCTCCGCACATACCTTCCGGAGCTGCGCTGATCTGCTTTTTTGGGATACAACAAATTGGCGTCGCGTGTCATCGTTATCATTGTATGCTACTGCCCCTGCACCTTTCTGGTTTGACTCTGCAGTTACCCCAAATGCAGGATGCTAGGAAGACTGACAAATCAGTTTTTCAGATTATATTTCTGTGCTATCAGTTCTCAATCCATGCGTGACACTGAAAATTGATACATTAAAGCTTTTGCGCTTGCACCTCGGCTCAGAGGGTCGACGTATATTTGATGCTCAAAACCTGAGGGAGAAACCCACGTTGACAGAGGCCTTATCGACCCTCATAAACATTGAGGTGTTCGAGTGAATACCTACATTTCTCGGTACAATTATGCGCAGCTGAAATAAGTATCTGGTGAATCAGTGGATGCATTCATTTCCCGTCGTGTTTGTTCTGTTCGAAAGTGTGACCATAGCAGCATTCCCAGGAAAAAGGTGGAAGAAATTATGCTAATACGACAATTGATTTCTGGTCTCACGCTTTCTCGGATCGAAGAGAGTCTCTTACTGGAGAACGCAGAAAAACTCACATGGGACAGGGCCTGTGGTTCACGCGAATGTCGCATTCACGGAACAAAACAAAAATTTCCCTCTACAACACAGGAGCTACTGAAATTGACCGTTTGGATTCTATACGCTCTCTAACGCGATCCCCAGTTAGAAATAAGTGTTATCTTTGTGGAAATGCTGAACATCGTGCATATAATAAACCCCGTCCTGCAAAGAGTGAAATCTGTCGGGATTGCGCTAAGACCGGCCATTTTGCTTGGGTTTGTCGTTCCCGCGCCATTTCTTTAGTTTATTCTTCAAATGACTCCAGAACTTCTCCAGTCACCACTGAACGATCCACATATGGCGTTAATGAATGCGAACATCTAATTTCATCTCCAACTTAAGAAGCTAAACTGCCTCCGCCAGATATTCCTCGTGTGTTTTTGAAGTTAGAAAAAAAGCATTCGTCTAGACATGGAACTAGATTCCGCGTCACCAATCACAGTTGTGCCATATAGTTTTTCCAAACAGCATTTTGGTCAGCTAACTGTGCGTCCTTCCTCTTACACTTTCAGCAACTACTCCAATGGTGCTGTTCACATACTCGGTTTTGTTCCGGTTTCAATGTTTATTATAAACAGCAGAAATCTCATAGTTGAAGTTTACGTCTCAAACTGATAGGAAGACTCTATTTGGACGTAATACCGTGGTCTTATTGAAGGTATCAACGTGCGTCAGCCGGATGACCATTTCCAGCGTCAACCTTCATTCGTTACGTACCAGTTACCCTAATCTCTTTATTCCGGATATTGGTAGAGTGCTAAAAGCAATGCACCGCATTTGGTTGAGCGCGGATTACAAACCGTTCAACATTTCACAATCTGTACCTCTGGCCTAGCGAGTGGCTTTGTCGCAAGCTTAAATTATACAACCCATGCAGTGTTATGAATGGGTTCATGCACTCATCATAATCATCATCATCATTCACGTTAGCTAGAGGTGGGAAGCACCTCAGCTACTGTGCCGCAATACAAAAAAAGAAGAAAAACAACTGTTGCAAACCGGCTGAGCTACCAGCAACGGATGGGCATCGTTCCGGTAAGCTACCAGCCGACTACTGTGCATCAAAAAATTACTATGCAAAATTATATAAGGCTAAATAGTGAGCTGGTGGTTGGAGGGGGAGGCTAGGAGGGATGGGGTGGGATGGGGTGGGACAAAGAGACTCACAGAACGAATGCCATGTGGTCGGATCCTAGACATATCAGCAAGTGTATCCAGCCAAAGGTGTCCATCGACTTTCGGACCCCAACCAGGGAACCGAGACGCTTCAACCGAGGCCAGCACAGAAGTGAGGGCCTTCTTCCTCTTGACCAAGTCATTGGTTGGCTATCCCTCCTCTTCTTCCATCCACACTCCCGGCGCGCAAATTACGCACTTCGCGGGAGTCAGTGGGTTGGCATGCGTAACACGTGACCAAGCCATCGGAGCCTGGTGCATGAAATAACGGTGCTGAGCAGTTCATTTCCTTTTCCTGTGCCGTAAACAAGGTGTCGAACACGCTCGTTGCTAACTCTGTGTTCCCGCCAGACGTGAGGCAAATTGCCAAGACACCGGTGATCGAACGTAACTAGCCTCTTCAGGTCCGCTGCTTTAAGGGGCCAGGTTTCACGACCGTACAGTAGGGTCGAAGATACCGCTGCATTTTACACTCTACCCTTCAGGGCGAGAGTGATGTGCCCGCGCCATAAGTGGAGAACGTTAACAAAAGCGCCTCGAGCTTTTGCTATACGCTTCGTGATCTCATCTTCAATCCCACGGGCACTGATACAACGTCCCAGGTAGTTGAATTTTTGGACCACTTCTAGCTGATCGCCACCATGGGTCAGCGTAGGAGGCGGTCCAGACCAATCTTGGAGGAACATTTTGCACTTCGATGGTGTAAAGCAAAGCCCGAAGTGACGGACAGCCAGTATTAATCTGTCCAGTGCCGCTTGGCACATTTGTGAGCTATCACAGATTAGGGCAGTATCATCATCATACTCTAAGTCAAGAAGTCTTTCCACTGGGAGCAGATCCACTCCTTCTAAGTCGTGTCCTGTGAAAGCGATTTCCATGACTTCGTCAATAGCCAAGTTGAAGAGGAAAGGTGACAGCCGGCATCTTTGTCTCAAACCGCTGGAGATATTAATGGGTGATGACAGCTTTCTGTAAGCCCTCACTCTGCCTGAGCAGCGCGCGTATAATGATCGGAAAATATTTACATATTTCTCAGGTACACCTTTCCTGAGAAGAAAGTCTCAATGTGCAGGTCTATCCATTGAATCGAATGCACCTTTGATATCAAGGAACACGACAACGGTGGGCCGCCAATATGTGTGGCGGTGCTTCAACAACTGACGCAAAGTGAAGATGTGGTCAAAGCAGCCACGACCTCGACGAAATCCGGCTTGCTCTTCACAAATATGGCTTTCACGAGTGCCAGTCAGTCTGTGAAGGGTGCCAGAGGCAAGCAATTTGGAGGCGATGGAGATCAGACTGATTCCTCTATGGTTTCCGCATTCCAAACGCGAGCCGCCTTTGAAGATGGGGACAATAACGGAGCGGCTCCAATCGGTTGGGACAGTCTCCTGCTCCCACAGTTTCACTAGTTATTCATGTAAAGCATCAACAAGAGCAGAGCCTCCGAATTTGAAGAGGGCTGGAGGAAGATCATCTGGTCCCGCGGTTTTGTTCAACTTCAACAGTCCGATCTCACGTTCGACTTCTGAGCGAGAGGGTGGATCCAAAGGGACAGCCCACGGAGCAGGGCGATCACTCGCCGGCGAAGAATCGAACAATTCTAGCCGATTAAATTGCTTTTCAAAATGCTCAGCCCAACGCTCCAAACGTTTTGACAAATTGTGAATAGGCTGTGAATAGGCTCTCATCACAAATTGTTTCACTAACACCAGGCCTCCTGCTGCCCGTTTCCCGTATCAGACGGAATTACTTACGATGGTTACCAAGGGCAGCGGCCATTTCCATTTCTGACTCAAGATGAGACCACCAAGATTCGCGGTCTCTCTTCAGGCTAGCACGGAGTTTTGCCCGGAGCTCCTTGCGATTTTAATTGTGTTCGCTTGCAGCCGGAATATGCGGGCCAGCATCGATAAGTTCCAGAGTCTGCGAAGAGACCCAATGTCCACGTTGGCTTTTAGACATACCACATGAGGATTTCCTGCTGCTAGTAATGTCTGGTGAATATGAGACCAGTGACCTTCAATTGCAACCAGTGAGCGTTTATCCAACTCGCATGATAGCGTAGACTGATAGGCATTCAGAACAGCTGGCTTCGCCAGTTGGCTGGTGTCAATGCGGTCACAACATCATCGTGGGCGTCCGCCAAAGCGCATCCGCATGTCAGCACATACAAGTGCATGGTCGGTGTCCATACATGTGCTCCAAATCGAGCGACAATTCTGGATGCAGCCTCTCTATCGGTAACTAATAGCAATGTGATCGATTTGCGTCCAAGGCTGGTTCGAGGCTGGTGGGCGCCAAGTCACCCTCCGGCGGGTGCTGTGTCGGAAATTAGTGCTCGCAAGAAATAAGCGAGCATCTTCACACAAATGAAGTAACCGCTTACCGTTATTATTACGGGAACCTATACCATGTTGGTCGCCCAGATGCAGCTCATCTGTGGATAATTTTCCAACTTGAGCGTTCAGATCCCCAGCCAGTAAAACAGTGTCCGAGCTTCTTCTGTGGCTAAAGAGCTCGTTCAGTTGACGACAGAGGTCGTCTTTTACCGAGTCACCGTTAGGGTTTGTGGTTGCATTGGCAGAAACACACATAAACTGGGCAGTACACTAACTTCCACAGCGCAGTACCACTACAGCATAAGCGGAGTTTGATCAGATCTCTCGCCTTCCGGGCGCGCAGTATTTGTACACCGGATACCGTCAACGAAGAACTACAGAGAATCAGCGACGCCCTCAGGGAAAATGGCTATCCGGATAAATTTATCATGAAACATTTGAAGGAACGCAATCGAAAGCCACCTAGGAGCATTGCTCCTAAGAAAGAGCTTTTCATACAGCTGATATGTTATACACATGCCTGAAAGACGCTGTCGAGAAAACTTATTTCGCGGCCCGGCTGAGAATCGTTTTTCACAACAAGCCGTTGCTTACGAAACCCTTGAAGGATAGACTATCTTCGTTGACCCGTTCAATGCTCGTTTATCAGTACTCGTGCTTCTGTGGTGCACGATACGTGGGTCGCACGACAAGACGCCTGTCTCAGAGGATTCGTGAACACATCCCGGCATGGTCTTACAAAGGCGAAATGAGGTCTTCAGACAGCTCAATCATGTCGCACCTCCTTGAGTGTGGCCACATAGCTTCAGAGAATGACTTCAAAGTCATTTATTCACTACCTGAACACAAAACCCAAGGATTCCGCAAACAGCTCTTATCCATCGCCGAGGCTATCTACATTCACCATCTGAAGCCGGAATTATGCATAAAAAAACGACTCATACGGCCCATACTACTACCTTGGCCAACGGACACTGTTACTTAGCTATTTGGCTGTTCTTTTACCTATTTAAATACTTTGGACTACTGACCAGTGCGTATGTATGTGTATTTAGTTTACTTGGTTTACCATTGCTATCTCTGTCTCAAGTTATCCATTTTGATCGTTCAAACAGTCCAGAAGTAAATCCCAGCCCGAGTTGACGCTTACCCTACACTATCAGTGTTTTGTAAACGTTTGGATCCGATGAGAGTTACCGAAAAGAACTCTTCACCCGGAACTGATTTCTGCTTTTGATTCTTTTGAATAGACATCTATTAGTCCCGCGCGACTTCGAGGCTTTGAACGAGCCAGCCTATCGGACCGCACACATCCAGCTACTGATTGGAATCCAATCAACCAGAGTAGTTTCAGCCCTGGGACTCAGGGCGATATCAACACCGGCTTGGCCGGTGCTCGAAGCTGCATCGTCACCGGATAGGCGCAATGAGAAAGTGCTGCTAATGTCACTTGAATGGCACCGCAGAGTGAACACAGAGCTCAAGTCCTGCAGGCGGGTCTCTGATAAGCAGCAGATATCTATCGAGAAGGTCCCCAATATTCGGGCATGTGCTGCCTGTTGACCGATCGGAAGCAGTGTGCGAATATTGAGGCATGCCAGTCTGTAGGAGGATCGAGGGCTCCAAATGGAAGCCAATGAACTGGAATGGACCGCTTGCTTGGACATGGGCCTGTTGACAGGCCAGTAATGGCGCTCCGCGTTCACTTGTGAGCTGAAACTTAAAGACAAGCGACTATTGAAGCAAGGTGGGAGAGGGCCGAGAATTGGGAGGTTGAAAACAGGGGGATAAAAGTAAAGCTGGAAGAGGGCGATAAGAGTGAAAGAACGTAAGAGGGGGAATAAGAAGACGGGAAGGCTTGAACAGTAGTATCCAAACCCCTAACAACCCTGCTCGATGCAGCAGATAGGGCACCGTTGATTATCCTCTGCGGTGGCCAGAGCATCAGAAATTTGTTTGAAGTGAGATACATTGGATTGCGTCGGCAAGATCCCTCAGTTTGCCCAAGCCTAGACAGGAGAATGATTAAGGTTCCCAACCAAAGCCTTTGGTTTAAAAACCTGACCGCAAGGCAGCGGGTTTGGCACTTGGCTACAAGGAGTCCGTTTTAATGAATAAGAAGCCACTCTCATTCCAACCCTCAACCTGGAGGGCCAGGAGGCTGAGTTTGTATTGTCTCTAATCAAGCAAAGCTTCGGGAGTACATATTCACTGCATGGCCCAGTCTTACCAAGATCCAACCTTAGTTATTTCCATACAATATCTTACGACACGAGTTTTCTATTGAGAGCAACTGCCTTATTAGAGACGAGTAATTTGCGATCCATGCAACCCTTATTCCTCCGGTGGTTGCATGTGTGCATGAAGATCATCCAGGGAATGTGCGAACAAAAGCTGGGATACGACAATGCTATTGGTAGTCGAAGTTGTATTCCAGCGTCGAGGCGTTTATTCGGGAATGTTACGCGTGTCAACTATCCGATAAAAGTGCGAGGCCTCTGAATGCTCCAGTATAACCCATCGTGTACTCAATGAAGCCATGGGCAAAAGTTACCATCGATATTATGGGCCCGTTTGCCAATTCACCCCCCGGCAGAAGCGAAACGTGCTCGTGGCTACAGGTTTCTACAGCAATTGGCCAGAGGCTACTATATGCTTGGACTTAACTACAGTCGTCATCATAAAGTGGCTTCGTTGTTTGTTTGCAAGGTACGGTTTGCCAGCAGAAATAGTCACTGATAAAGGCCCACAGTTTCGAAATAACAAGTATGCTGCAGTTCTAAGGCTCACTGGTATCAGCCACAAGCGGGCTGAATCTTATACTCCTGCAGCGAATGGACTCGTCGAACAACTTAATGGTACCTTGAAAGAATCCTTCGGCTTTCGGGAGAATCCTGAAGTGATGCGTTGGTATCTGCCTTGGAGGAATCCAGAACCACTCCACAAACTGCAACGGTAACGACCCCCTCGGAGCTGATGCTAGGGCGAACAATTCGAACGCGATTAAATGCAGCCTTTACATCCGAAGAAACCGCCGATCACAGAGAATTCGAAAGACGGGCTAAACATAGACGCGTTGGGAGAACGTATGATCCAGGGTCATTTGTTCATGTGAGCCTACCCTATTCCCGGAAAGGAGGTAGTGTGTTCGGACCGCCGCCCCGTGTGGGATCCGTCTGCAGTTGGCTGATGGGACAAAGGCGAATGCAAGACGTCTGTATACAGCGCTTTCCCAACGTGCAAATGAACAGACGAACACACCTACAAAGCAGGGCTGAGTACAAACTAATACAAACTTACGACGTTTCGGTCAGATACCCCGTCCTGTCTACCGATAAGCTTTAACGAATAACACCACATGACAATTCTTCGGGGTGCTGACTTTAAATTAAATCGTTCACACGCATGTGGTGCTTATATTTTTACGAACAGTGTTTAAATACTTTGCTTTGTTTTTGCTCTCGATTCGCTTGTCCTATTCAGACTGCTATTTAGCACTCGTTGGTCAAGCTTGTGGTCTTGCATTTGAATGCAATTAGAAACCCTATCGAGTTGATTGTACTGCGCGTGTGTGCGAACAGATTTCCCCATACATACGTTCCCGTGCATATATGCTGCTTCTTCTGGATACAACACATTCTTTGTCCCATACGTGTGAACTACAGCGGGAGGGGTCTCCCATGAACTATACGGCAAATAACGAAGATGAACGTGTATAAAATTTACAGATTTGCTGCAGTGAAACGAGTAAGCTCTGTTCCTGAAGAATTTCGTCACTGAATATTATTCGTGGCATCTCTTCAAAATCTCCAAATGATGTTTCCATTTGGTTAGGTGCTTCGCTCAAAGGAATACCGAAATTTTTCCAGTGTAAAAGGAGGTAATGTGGTGCTTTTGGTGGGATAGAAGTGAAATTATCCCCTTGAAAATCATCGCAAACAGGACTTGTTATGTGAAGAACGATGCGAGCTTGCGCCAGCAGTGCCGGATTATGAAAAAATCAAAGCGATAATTAATTTTAACAGCGACATCCATTTGGTTCAACTTGCTCGTGCTGACCCTGCAATCGAGATGAAAATACCGTATGCAGACAAACATATCTTCTTCCGCCAAGATAACCGCATCCACATGTAAGGCGCCGGGTCGCCGAATCTATGGCTAATAAGGGCTGGGAACTGCTTCTTCATCTGCCATGTTTTCCCACAGTAGCTACTAGAGATACACTGTCAATCGATCACTGTATAATTGGCTCGTGGATAATCTTTGCGACGATTTAGGGGAGTTCATGTCCGCCGTCGAAGAGTGGATTGCCTCTAAAATCATGAAGTTCTTCACTCATGATATCTAAC